TAAATCCTAAAAAATGTATTTATTGTTAACAAATAAATCTAGACTTTCTCTGGACAATAAGACGTAAAGTTTTCTTCACGGGGTTCATTTTACTTCTAGGACTTTGGAATATTTTAATATTATATAACCTTAACAAGTCTCTGAGGTCATGTGACCAAGACAAGCTGTTCATGGACTTTATGAAAAACTGAAGGGACAATTTCCTTCCCTTTAATTTGACATTGGAGAACTCTACTGATCTTCTTAAAATCATCTTTTTATAATTGCTTTTGATAAAATATGTAGATATACTGATATTCAAAATTTTTTACTTTTAAATTTGTAATTTCTTTTTTTATTTCTTTTACTCCAGAAAGAAAACATGGAGATCATAATCTTTTTCAAAATGTTACAGATTCAGTTGTTTTCGCTTACTTTATTTCACTTAAATGTTAAAGATCATAAAAACCTTCAGAAAGGGGATCATAGTAAATATAAAAAGCAGTTTTCAAATTATTTCCTTTATTGAGGGGAAAAAAAGATAACCAAACTACTGGCTTTATGGCAGTTGTTGCAAAAGGTGACAAAACCAATGCTATCTTTTTTCTTTAATAAATTAAATCCTTATTCTAACTCAATCTAATTTTTTGTTTTCACATTTGTTTAACAAGCTTAAAAAAATTAAGTGATATAGAAGCAAAAATATTAAAAAACCCTAAGACTAATACTTTATCGCAGCATTATACCAGTCTAACATATTTTTTATTAAACTTAAAGTGCACCAGCTGTGTTCAGATGTGTGATGGGAAACAGATTTAACCTGCCGATCAAAGTCAAACCAGATCAAGAAAAAAACAAAAATCAGCCAATTCCAATCAATGGCAAGCCGATCAGTTCAACACTGTGATTGATGATGAATGGTTGAGATTATTGAACTAAAAGTTCAAATGGTGTTTGATTACTTTGTTACACTCTTTAATATACTGTGTACATTTAGTTTTCTTCATGAAATGCTTTAAAAAGTTTATATCTTTATGTACATTCATCTTTTCTTACCATATATAACAGAATGTTAAATCTAATGTTTAGCATTTGGAAATTATTTTTCTTTGTTACATTTTATGCATTTTGTGTTGTTTTCTTTGTGCAGACATTAAAAGTCTACATGATTATTTGCTCATTTGGAAAGATTTAATAAACGTTTATGACATTTGGAGTGATGTGTTCATGTAAACTAAAACCCATCTACACAGAAAGACACTGAAGTTTCTATTTAAACTCATTTTATTGATAACACCTTAACACATTTCTTGAAGTTAGAGAAACACGTGTAGCACGTAAGAGAACAGAGCAATAATATGGAGAAGTGGAGAACTAGAGGGTTAATATTATACAGAAGAAAGCCAAACTGACAAAAAGAGACAAAGGGAAACCAGAAAGAACCGACTGCAGAGAAATGATTGAAGAAGGTTGGAAACAGAGGGAGCAGGAAAAAGAGAGACTCCCACAGAAGAGAAACCGCCTCAGTGTTGTCAGAGCAACTTATCTTCTGCTGCAGGAAATAAAAAACAACGCAGAAGTTCAGAGTGAAACGGCGGCTTCAGAGCTCAGACTGATAATGAACCGGTTCGTCTCTCTGATCCAAATTCAGGACAAAAAACAAAAAATCTGTCTGTGCTTCATGTGGTGCGACTGCGCCTCCTGCTGGCTGCACTGACAACACTGAGAACCCATAGAAAAGCATGCAAAAGTATCATCAACACATCATCATCATCATGAATGTCCACTTTATCATAGTCATTCTTAGTACCACAGTCATGATTATAATAATCCTTACCATATTAATCATCTTCATTATATCATCTGGAGATAAAAATAGTTATATGCACTTAAAAAGCTGAGAAAATAGAGAAAGGTCGAGTTTACCAGCATTCAGTAGAAAATGAGAACCCAAATAAAAACACCAAAAAACTAAAATGTCCTTTTGACTGTCATGCAAAGAAGATGAGAGCTACGCTGCTAGCAGCAGTGCTATTATACTGTGAACTCCCTCGTTTTAAATATGTGAGTCTTATTATGTTGATTTTCAAGGCTAGAAACACGCTAAGAAGAACAGAAGAACATCACTTTTGTACTGCACATGCTGCTATTTCTTCTTTTTTTCTGGAGAAGGGTTGACCTCTTAGTAATAAAACATGTTGAAGTAGACAACAGCGTCCTTACTGGATGAGACGTCAGTACGATACAAACTCTCAGTGGTGAGGAAAAAGGCTTCATCTGACAAAATCCAACATCTTATGAAGGAAGTGTTGAAACATCCGAGGGACGGCTGACGCAAAATACAATCCTGTATAATAACATAAGTCATAAAGTGTCCCACTTTAAACAGTACCTCAGAATAACTACGGAAGTCCAAATCTGCCGCAATTCTAAGGAAAATAAAATATTACTTTAATGTTTTTTAATTATTATAATTCACAAAAAATAAGTAGATAATTAATGGATTTATTAATTTATAATGTGTTATAATAAATCAAATATGTTGGTGGTAATAAAAATATTTACAAAAATACAATAATTATCTCTTAGTATAATTTATAAGTTTGACGTTGTGCTCAAATGCATGAGTAAATGAAATAAGTTGATATTGTTTTACCTTAAATTTTTAATTAGTGGATTTCACATTTAGATATTAATGTGGTTAATAGGGTTTAAATTAATTATTACACACCCAATTTTCTGGATTCTATCATAATTTTTTGAAAAATATTTGAACTTTTGACACTCCATAGTCCTAACTCATTGTATGTCGGCCAAATTAGGTGTGCTATCCCTTTAAGAACAGGTTTTACAGACAGTACTTGCACAATTGGAAAACAACTTAAAAAAAAAAAAAGCACAGTAAAAACATCCACTAAAATAAATAAATAAATACTCAAAATAAATAAAAACCTGAGGACTGTTCACCAAACCGACAGCTGGGTCTCTCTGAATCTCTTGTTCAGACCGAGCGGTGATACAAAACCCGAAGGCAGCCAGTGGTGGACGAAGAACAGCGGAGCTGATCGCAAGTCGAACCTCTTCTAAAACAAATAATCAGTTTTTACTGCTGCAAAGTCCATCTGCTCTACCCTGCTGCCTCTGGCACTTTATGTTATGAAAGGCTAATAACACTGTACACAAACCGAACATAATGAAGTAAAAGCACAGAAAAATAAAAAACAAAGCATGAAAAAAAAAAAACATCCTGGGGTTCAAGGCCTGTTCCTGTCTCTCATAAACGCCTCCTAAACCTCCCCCAGGGTTTCAAAGAGCACAGACTGAAGGCTTTAAATCTACATGCACTTACAAATATATTGCACACTGTATTAAAAGACCGACATGATTGAAGCACCAAGCAAACACAACCTTCATGATTCCCCACTGCTGCAGGATGGAGTCTTAGTTTTTGAATGTGCTTCATTTGGAAAAACAGCAGCAGTAGCACCAGCTTTCTGCTCTATGGCTTCAGAAACGAGAAAGGTCACACAAATCCGAAAGGATCTGTCGTTCAGAGTGCCGACTTCTTTTGTCCCTTTCAATTAAAGAAAAATAAAGAACCTGTTGTTGTGTTTCAGCCAGCAGTGCAGGTTAAAAATAATTCGGCCTTTTTAAGAAGGAGCACTGAGCTTCAAGCGGGTGTTCATCCGTCTCCAAGCAACAGCAGGAGACACCAGCTGAGCATCCCCGTCTACCCCGAAAATAAAAAGAGCCCCAAGCAGGTTCAAGGATGAGTCACTGAGCTTCAGGTCTGACTGAAAACAGAGGGAGGTTTCAGCAGAGCTTCCTCCTCATCTGACATGTTTGATGCTTGTAGAAAACAACTACAGACAACATGCTCTTCTTGTGCATTTTGTAGGATTTGCAGCTTTAAGCTGTTGTAAGACATGAATCAGAGCTCCTGAGTGCAGGTAAGAGAAAGGTAGAAAAGAAAGTTTTCTTCTTGATTTGCTGAGTTGCTTCAGACTTCAGCCTCTTCTGCCACAAATACTACAAACATCAAGTGGTTTTGTAAAGTTTCCATTGAAAATATTAGTACCCTTGAAATAAGTCAAAACTAACTTATCAACAAGACAAGAGCTTGTTTTAAGTCAATTATGGATGAAAAAGTACTAGAACCAAACATGGAGAAGCAGCATTCAGCTTCTATGCACCATAAATCTATAACAAACGTCCAGAAAACTGCAAAACAGCCGAAACACCGAGCTCATTTAAATCAGTGCTCCATCATAAATGAAACAATGATCAACATATTTGATGTATGTTGATGATGGCACTAGACAAAATGTCATATTTGTTACTACTTTCTCAATTGGTGACTGAATTAGTTTTGTGTTTTATGATGTGAAGCACTTTGACTTGCCTTGATGATTAAATATGCTACACAAATAAACGTGATTGACAAGTTCACTTATTGCATGAGAAAAATGTCTTGTTATAAGAGAAAAAATCTGCAAGTAGTAATTTTTATCAATATGCAAAAATAACTGACTTAAAAGAAGCTGCTATCTCTTGCTGATACGTTACTTAAAAGTTATTTTTGTCTTATTTTAAAGTGTTTAAGGTATTTGCATTGGAAACTAGACAACTTGATCAGATTTTGTGTTTTTGCAGTGCAGCTAAGAAACAACAGCAGGTTCCTCTGATTGTGCTTAGTTACCTGGACTTTGAATGCTACGTCGCTACCTAGCATGACCGCGCTCACCAACACACACTGTACAGATCTGGTCATAAGTTTACCTACTTTCATCAGTTATTGGTTTATTTATGCCGTTTTTCTCCCCCAGCCGCCTCACTTTTAGCAAACAACCAGATGGACTTTTGAGAAGAAGTTTGAATTAATTGCGGATTTTCTCTTGTACATAGAGGGAAAAACTATAATATAATCTAACCTCTTAAACTCTCTTATTATTTCAAACCCAAGAACACTGGACCATCTGGCATGCATGTTGGTGGCAGTTTTGCTGCCAGTGATGCTGGTGCATTGAACAAAGTTTAGGTAATTATGAAAAAAAGAAGACTTAAATACACAACAAAAAAAATCTGTTTTTGAATAGACAAACCAAACAAATCAATTTAAATAAACTGGTAAGAAGATTGGTCAAATATGGAGCCAGATCCAACTTGCTTTACCAAATATTAGTGGAGTTAGCATGCATAAATTTGAATTTGTTGTTTTATAAGAGAAAATCCACAGTAAAATCAAACTTGTGTGCCCAGTTCTTGCTTTTAAAAATAATAAAATTGATGTGTTTTTTTACCCATTCCACACAGAAAAAAGTAAATTAATCCCTTGCAGCCTAAACTTGATCACATCCTTGACTGTATGTAAACTTCTGACCCCTGCTGTATAATCACACTCTACGTTCAGAAACGTCCCATCCAAAAAGCAACAAAAAACGACCGAAAGATAAAAGTAAAAATACTAAAACCGACGTTTCAGCCATGACTTCAAGTGCAGTATGATAGCGAACGTAGAAGAAGCAAATTATAAAAACGGCCAATAATCCTTTTCCACTTAACAGCCACAATAATAATAATTATAAGAATAAAAAAACAAGAAAACAGCCACTGTTACTATGGGGAATAAAACATGCTTCCTTAAAAAGATAAAACAAAAAAGTTCCTTCAACTCTAAAAACCACTGGCATCAAGAAATCTGAATTATACAAATTACATATACAATTGCAAATGTGTAACAATAATAATCATAATATAGTAATGATAATTATAGATTTTACTTAAAACTTTACATACTGTATTTCCAGTGCAGTGTTTATGTCACACAGGTGCGGATTCACAGGAGGACAAGAAAGGGTCACAAAAATATTGTGGGGGTGTGAGAGACACTGCAGGTAGGGGGCGCCACACCCCGAATCAAACACCCAGTGAGCTGGAGAGAAGAGGAGGAGTAAGGAACAGAAGAAGAAGAAGAAAAAGAAGAAGATGTGGAGCGATGGTCGTCAGGAGCTTAGTTTGTAGATGCAGACGGAGGCGGGGTCACGGTTGTAGAAGCAGAGGTGCATGCTGGGGGATGGAGTCCAGTGAGAGAGGGATTTGATTGTTGAGGCGAGACGAGCCATGTCCTCCAAGTCAACACTGGATGTGTTCCTTCATCCCTTCCTCTTCCTCTTTTCTCTCCAGCACATCATTCCTGACAGACACAACTACAGCATTCAACCCTGGAAAGGAGAACAGACGACTAATACAGTCACAGGTTTTTAACTTTGTCCAAGTTAAAAACACAGACAGGACTTGCTAAAGAGTGATTTGGATAAGCAAAATTAAGTCTTTATATTTTGTTGTTTCTGTTGTTTTGTTTATTTATTTTTGGATAGTTAAAATGTCTTCCAGTTCCACTGCTAAATGAATTTAGAATTGAAAGTTTGTTGATCTTTGAGAATGTGTTCTGGCATTATTATGCCATTACCATTGTTTTACTTGAAAACAGTCTCAAAACAACTATATTATAATTTATCACAATAACTTCTGGGGCGATTTATAGTCCAATATCAAATTATTTATTTTAAATCCATATTGTCCACTATTAATTTTCATTCATATAAAAATTATTCTAAGCAGTTCAGTCACATTTTATAATGGAGAAATAGGTGTAGAAAACATTCTACCTAACAAAATAATACACAGGCATGGTCTTCTGCAGATGTAGTCTCCGTTTCATTTTCTTGCTTTTATGAGATTTAAAAAAAGTGTCATGCAAACACTTTTTAAAGATACACAAGGACATTACTGCAGACCTGTCCTGGTGTTTTTGTGTCCTCCTCTCTCTTCCAGCCAGTGGAGACAAACAGCTGTCCTTCCAAAGTCTTTAGCCTCTAATGAAGGATGTTTCAATGGTATCAAACTTTTAACACGGACAGACCAGCACCCAGTGCAGCAGCCAGATTTACTGGCCTTTCTGGTGAAATTGTTCAAAAAGCCTTGAAAGAACCTCTTTTTTTACTGCAGCGGGATAATGTCAAATCTTAAACTGACTTGTTTTTATTAGAAAATGACACATTACAGCTGGAATCCCAAATGATCCTATTAAAATAAAAGTACCTGAAGCATTTCGTTCCATTTATGCTGTGCTTTTTAAAGTTAATCAGAGTTTTTTACAACTTCTAATTCATGGATTTCTGCTTCCCTGGGTTTTAAGTATTATGGCAGTAAATAACAATTACTTTTGCAATCAATTATATTGGTGTTTGAGGATTTAATCACATTTTTAAAAATTGTCATTTTAAGTCTTTTTTATACAAAATTAGAAATATATAACATTGTAAATAAATAGATTACTTTCTAAAATAATAAACATTTTATTGCCTAACATATAGTTGATAATTATTTCAATAATTCATTCATCATGATTAGTTCGATGTGTTATGATCAAACAATTGAAGGATTTAAATGGATTTGGAGCTAAATTTGGCTCATAAAGTGAAAAAAATTAATCTCAGAAAAAATATTGGAACTGAAAAGATTTGAAACTGAAAAAAAGTTCAAAACTACGTTTCAGATTTGAGTTGTTTTTTTTCCCCCCAAACATTTTCAGTGTAAGATTAAGCTACCGACTTAAAAAAATATTTTTTTGAAGGCTTTTCACAAATCTTTCTAAAAGTTGCTGATACATTTTAATAATTTTCTTCCTGTGAGACATGCTGTGAGTGAGGCGGCCATCTGCTGCCGCATTGCCCCGTCGGCTGGCTCGTACCTCACTGGAGAGGCGCAGCTGGCGCGCCTGAGCAGTGGAAGTGGATGTTCTGCCACTTGCTGTCTCTGCGATGCCAGACGCGCGTTTCCTCCGACTGGCTGGAGCGCGGCCGGCCCTGGTTGTCCACAAACTGAGTGAGCCGGATGTACGCGATGCAGGCGGCGTCCTCGCCGATCAGGTGGACGTGGGGGTTCAGGATGGTGGTGTGGATGGGCTTGTTGTTCTTAGCCAAAACTGACAAAAAAAAAAAAAAAGACATTACTTATTTTAGATTACTCAATAGAAGAAGAGAAAGGAGATAAAAACAGATCTATAGTGTCTTGGAAAAGAATTTGTTTGTAAATCTGTTTTATCCAGAACTTCTGTAGTGGTATTTTTAGCTTCATCTGCTTCCACTAACATTGGAAGGCATCATATATTATCCTAATGACCATAATTCAGATCTGAGAAATGATCTGAGGAAATCTTAGATCTTAAAGAAAACAGACTAAATATAGGAACAGATGAATCTTAGAGGAATCAGAGGGAAACAAATGTTTATATCTTACGGTTCTCAAAGTAGAATCTGTGGAAATCCATTCCCTCTACCAGGTTTCCCAAGGCCTCCGGCTCAAACGAAGTCAACCCGGGATCGCAGATCTTACTGACCACAGAACAGCAGGGCTGGTTTTCATGGCCCCAAATTATGCAAATGACACAAAACATTCAAGAGATCCCAGACTCACGCGTAAGCGTCAAAGTCTCCATTGTTGATGGCCTCGATCAGCTGTTCGGTGATCTTGATGATTTCTTGTTTGCGCGCTGCAGAAGACAGAAGAAAGACGTATAAACAAAGACAACCAACAACGGGAGCTGGACTGAAGGAGGGAAGTTAGTTTAGTTATTTAAAACCAACCAAACAGATGCTCTGGCAAAGGCAGCCATGACTCCAACCAAAGCAGTTACTTCATTTTACAGAATTAATGAAAAGACAAACTGGGAATTCAATTATTAATCGATCATTGAAATATAATCGTTAACTAATTTAGTAATCAATTAATTGTTGACTGGAATCTACAGACTCAAAAAAAGACATTTGCTGAAAGAACAACACAGTCAGAGCAATAATTAAGCCCAAATGTACAAAAATAAATACATTTAAAATGAAAAACTTTATCTGTTCTATTCAAAACTCTTCAAGTGTTGCAGTTTTTGCTTCACCTGGTTCAAAATCTGTACAAAACAAAATCCTCCCTTTTAAGCAGCTTTTGCTGCCCAATTATTAATTAACAGAATAATCAACAGATCAGTCCTACACTTTATTGACGTTACCTCAAACAAGAGGCTGATTTTTACACGTTGATGTTTCCTTAGCTGCAGATGCATCAAACATTCAGGAATGCTGCAGTTAAATAGTAATAAACTGTTTATTTTTCCTATTTTTAAAAGGAACTTAATTATTTGTTTATTTGCATCTTTTAATGTAATGTAAAGCTGAAGTGGTTAAATAAAAAATCAGCAAAAAATTAAAAATATAATGTTTTACCCGAGTAATCGACAGAATAACTGATTACTAAAATAATTATCAGATGCAGATCTAAAATAAACAAGAGAAAAATCTCAGCAACTTTCAGATGTTTATCCTGAGCAGTTTAGTTTATTAAGAGAGCACACACACACACACACACACACACACACATCGTCCAGTATCCTCACAAGCAGTGTCACATTTTTTGTATTGAAATACAAGTTAAATCAGCCGCCTGCAGTCAGCAGTAATCTACCAGCAGAGCACCAACGAGGTTTAATGAGGCTCAAAAACATAAAAATAAACCATCCGCATTCAGATCAGCGTGATCTACTTCACTCTGCAGAACATGCTTCTGTTTATCCAGATGTTAGCGTCGATCCCAAACTGAAGTCCAAAGTCATCTGATCACAGCTTCTGATTGGCCAGCATGCAGCAAGGGGGGCGGGGTTTGCTGTGGGGCTTAGTACTCACTCTGGGAGGAGGACAAGGAGGGGCTGGAGGGGGAGTGGGAGGGAGGTAGGGGAGTGGAGTGTGCAGGTGGAGGGGCCGGCTTGGTGACGGGGGCCGGCGCCGAGGCGGCGTCGCCGTCGGGTGCAGCGGGCGGCGGCACCCTGCGGACGCTGCTTACCAGGTCTGTGAGCCGGGACACTGAGGGGTCCGGGATGGACGGATGGATGGATGGAGGGATGGAATGACAGAGGAATATAGAACAGGTTACAAACAATAAGATGGGGAAAAAAACATGAAGAGGATGAGAAAAATGGGTAAATTTCTAGTCAATTTAAATAAGAATCTGTTTTGGCACTTTCACAAATTAGGTTATTTTATCAAATATGTAAATAGTTTTTGATGCACACAAATTATTTCATTTCAAATACTCATTTTTGGGTGGATTAAAACAGTAATTTGTATTTTAATCTGCTAAGTGATTTAATGTAGTTTATGGAGCTGCACTTAAATAAAAAGGTTAAATAAACTTTAACTTTGTTTTCTTTAATATATATATATATATATATATATATATATATATATATATATATAATATTTTTGAAGAAGAAGAAGAAGAAGAGCGATGTTAGCAACAGTTACAAAAGTTACTTTAACAGTTTCATAGAAAATGTGTTATTTTGTAATTACATTGTGTTTTTTTCCTCTAGTTTTCAAATTAACAAGACTTCTAGATAAATTTTCTTTCTCTTCACAGTTTACATAAATTATCTTTTGACATATTTTCATATTTGGTATTTTTATGTAAAAAACAACAACAACAACTTTGCTCCTTTAACAGGGTTGTCAGTGGGTTTATAAAGGTTAATATTTGTTTTGGGGGGTAAAAAATGACTGCCTTTTCTTAGATTTGTACTGAACAGTAGATTAACTTTTGTGAAATATTGTATGTTGTTTTGGCTACTTATTATTTTTAAAGACTGTTTTACTGAGGACGTCCTGTAACTATGCAATGTTTTTGTGCAGCTTTTTAAATCTCTTTCCTGCAGTTTTATTTGTGGCTCTTTAAAAGTATTTTTATATTTTGTTGTTCAAAGTTTGCATGCATCACATTATACAGCATATTAGCGCTAAATTTCTGCTTCCACAATTCCCTTGTTCCACATCAGTTCTGACCCTGTTCTGTAATCTGTCCAAGCTTCTCTTCATGCAGCATCCTGGCATGGCATCAGAGGAAAAGCAGATGCCAGATAAATGACTATAACGCTCATTTAGAGGTTGTTTACTGCTGAGTCTGTTTTGGCTCCTGCCCACTTACTCTGCATGGGGACAACAGGGGTGAGTGGAGGGGAAGGGGCGGAGAGGGCAGCTGGAGGCGGAGTGCTGGATCTACCTTCTCCGTCGGTGATGGGCCCTGAGCCTCTACGCACAGAGCCCAGCAGGTCAGCAAACTTCGCAGCAGCTGAATTTGGGAAGGGAGGAACATGGAGGCGTTTGAATTTCAAAGCGACCCCCAGAATCCACAAACTTCCTCGCCGTGGTCAGCTCCCATCAACATTTCCTTTCAACACTTTCTGCATAATATTCTGACAAAATCCATGCTTGGAATTGTGAGAAAAATAACACTAACACGAGAATTAAGCAGCGCTATTGTTGTTTTATTTGGCTCCATGAGAGGGAGCCAAAGAGTAATTCAGAAAACAGCTGGAGGATTGACTTGAGAAAACTGAATTTAAAGCAATTTCATATATTTGTTCTAGGGCTGGGCAATATGGCTTGAAAATTAAATCTCCAATTTTTTTCTACCAGATCCAATTTAACTGATTTAAAAAAAGGCTACAAGAACTTTTAACTACAAGAATATTGTCATTATCAGAATAAAGATGCAATTTTACCAGAAGAATGTCATAAAATTAAAAGGAAAAAATATTTTTTAATGAGAAAAAATGATTCCAGAGTGACCAGCTCAGTTTGTATGGTTTTCCTAAAAATAGACTGTCATTTGCTCAAAGTCCCACCACTGATAGTAATTTGATGCTGGTGTGTTAGAAGATTAAGTTTGTCCTATAACTTCATAAGATGATCAATATTCTTCATTTTAATTTTTTATGTAGGAGTCATAAAATTACTACCCTTTTCTCCTAATATTATGACTTTATTCTGGTAATTTAAAAAATCATAATCTGTCCTTACATTCCATCTTTATTTATTTGGACTTAGAGTGTCAAACAAGATGGCCGCACCGGGCGTGTCGACATCACTATGAACTATGGAAACACATGGAGTCCACTGGAGAAAAAAATACTGATTTCCAGAAGATTAAAACATAAATAAAATAAAAAATAAATATGAATTAATAAAAGTGCTTTATTGCCCAGCCCTAATTTGTTCATTTGTCAATGCTGTTAGTAAATGTTTAAAGAGGCTCAGGTTAAAATCTAAAAATCCGCTGCGATTTAGTGTCGCTAAACAGCAGCAAGTGGATGATTTTAGTCCATGCAGGGATCAAATGGAAAACCACCCCCCCAAAAAAAACAACAAGAAATGTTGTTTTTGGTATAAGATCTGAATGTTAGAAACTGAACCTGGCCGTCCATGCTGACTTACAGTGCACAGCAGCTGAGGAGCCCTGAGTGCTATCAGGCTGGGAACTTGTGCTGGACTGCGCCTTAATTGAGCTGTTGTCTAAGCTCTTTCCTGACAACATGCACACACAGAATGAGACCAAACACAAGTAAATCAAGAGATGAAAACCAGGCAGATGTTTTCCACCAGAGAAACAACACAATTGGGAAATAACGAAAGGAGCGGCGGAGACGACACAACGGGGGCTCGTAAACATGTAAAGACCCGATTTCCGTCCTCACACTGAGAAATTAAAGATACTCTTTGGTTGAAGCAACTAAAGGTAATAATTACCCTGGTTAATGACTCAATTTCATTCAGATTTACAGCTGGGGCTGCTGCTGCATATGGGGTTTTATTGTGACATCGCGATTCTCAACAGAGAGCAAAAGATTGATGATGACAACGGTGATGGCTGCAGTAATGAGAAAAATTACTCATACTGTTTGTTCATTTCATTTTCTTAAAACTACAAAAACTACAATGTACATTTATTTAATTTTATATGACAGNGCAACACAAAGTAGANCAAANAATTCAAGTGGAAGGAAAAGAGTAAATGATTTTCAATACTGGTGACAAAAAACTGAAAAGTGTGGTGTGTAACCGTCTTTACAATGATTACCCCAGTGCAAATATACCCTGAAAGGTTAATTATATGGTAAATAAGAGTCCACCTGAATGTAATTTAACCACAGTGGTGGGTATCCAAACTGCGGCCTGAGGGCCATTTGAGGCCTTTACACTGATTTTGTGCGGTCTCCAAACTGCAGTTCAAGAATGATACAAATGTGATCTGTTCAGTAAATGTGATTGATGTAGATGGAGACTTTCTATGTGGAATCAGGGTAAAATTATTACACACAATTTTCTTAGAATGGAAAATGTAAAGTATGACACAAAGTATTTGTATTTTTACAACCAAACTTTTATAATTGGTAGAACCACATCCATCCAGACACTTTACTGCTTGATTTTAGTTTTTGTTATTTTCTATTTGATGCCATGATTTTAGCAAACACGGCAAAAAGTTTGCCCAGTCCTGCCTCAGAGGTTTATTTGAGAACATTGGCGACCAAAAAAACAAAAAACACAGCAAATGGGTCAGGAATCGAATGGGAGGAGGTGATGGGAAAAACAGGACAATTATAAGAACCTGGTGGAGACTGAAAAAAACTTGAGACAGATGTGAAGGTTCAAGATACAACTGGAGCTCTTTGTCAAGACTTTGAAATTGTTCACAGATGTTCTCTGTCTTACATGACAGTTTGAGCTAAAACATAAAAATAAAAAAATCTTCAGAACTTTGTAGTAATGAGTGTAAATGTTCAAGAAGAATTAATACTTTTGAAAGGCCGTCATTCATCTGGTGCACATGAATGTGCTTCTTAAAAAGAACCATGCATGGGGGGAAAATCCCAATGAAGATCTGCACACTTCCATCTTCTAAGAGCAAGGGTAACATCAGAAACAAAAACAAGTAACCTCCAAATCCACAATGTTTGACTTATCAATAACTTATAACAAACCCTGTAAACGACAAACTCGGTAAACGTTCTTCAGAATGACTATCCGTCGCAAAAACAAGCAGCATAAAATGTAACTGAGTCTAACAAGTAGCGTAGTATTGAAGCTAATACAACAGATTACGTCCTCCAAAAGTCAACCTGGGTGTTGGATTACAAAGCAGCTGTCCAGCACTAACCTGACAAGACCCCAAAAAGACTACGAAGGCACAAACTGTTCCAGATAAGCACGACCGACCCCTCCTCCCATGCTCACCTAGCCCGTGAGGTGTTGTCTGCGCTGTCACCCCCGTTTAAATCTCAAGATCCATAAAAGTGCCGTGTGAGATGAATGCCTTCCAGGGGTGGCGCTAGAAGAGCGGCGTGTGTTCACTGTGTCACCTCTCTGGGCGGTCCGTTGCGGTTTCCAGCCACCAAAGCTAAATTTAGGTGGCATTCCCCTTTTTTAGCCACGACGTTTCTGCCAAAGGTGCCCCAACCCTGCCCAAGCCTCCTACAGGGGTGTGGTGGTAGGGCTGAATTTGAGAGAGGAGGACTGTGTCGGGCTTTTAGGACTACAAAGTATATTGACAATTCATTAGTAGTTTTAATATGGCCAGTCAAATAAAAACTTAACCAAATGTTGGTAACAACCCAGGTTGTCTAAACACATTTTAAGGAACATTTTTAAAAACTGGTGGGTTAAAACTGGAATAAAAGAGGAACAGAAAGCCAAAAAGCAAACCCAGTGTCAAAACAATGTTTTTAGAAGCAGATACTTTCACAAAAAAGTCTGTTGCAAAACATGCCTGCTATATTTCTGAACTATTTAATGTACCAGTGAGCGTCACAAGCTGCATTTCCATTGACCTTAAAATGGTGCAAAATGGAATTACAAGAACAAATTTCCTAAATTGAACTACATCAATTTTGAAAAAGGTTTTGCTCGAAGATGAGGTGATTTTTTTGACTACAAAGAAATAAATTTATTTTCAAAACTGCAATGGAAACACTTTTGTTTTGCATCATGAATCATGTGATTAACAAACAAAAGCTACAACTGGCAGGAAAGATGAAGTAGATGACAAGAAGTGTTTTTTTAATGACAAAACTGATTCACATGTCATTTTCATTGAGTTTTCTATTTAATGGAAACACAGAAATTGTGAAATTCTGTTTTTTTTATGATAGCAGAACATCAACAAAGATTTGCAAACATTTGTAATGGAAATGCAGCTACTGGAGCCATAACTTTGAAGCGGAAAGAACATTATTCCACCATAAATCAATCATGACCAGCTGCCTCTCATAGGATTTTTGACTGATAACTCAAAAATAATTTTAACACCTCAACACAAATTAAAACACCTTGGAAGCAATAAAGGGAGGTCATTACAGTTTTTAGAGGTAATGTATTTCTGTAATATTTGCTATTAAAGGATCAAACCAATCAGAAGAAATGTAAGAAACTCAGATGGTGTGTTTGGGTTTCCCACATTACATTGTAAACGACTCGATAAAATGAAAAACATTCAGTTTATTTGCTTCCTCATAAAACGACACAACAACTTCAACAACAGCTTTCAAGCTTTAAAGGTTTTTCTGAGGACAACAGGATGGAAAAAGCCATACTTTCTTTTTTCTTTGACCAGCTCTGTAGCAGAGTTTCTGAATATATCTGGATGTGCATGCTTAAAGTTTTGGCAGCCTTCAATATTCTGATGTAAAAATAGTTTTCTCAGCCACAACCTGAAGTCGTACCTTTCAGCCACTCAGTAATAGCAGCACAGCAGTTGGTTGCAAAGGAAATTGAAGGCAGGCTGCTGAAGAGACGTTGCTGACCAGGGAGACAAACTCTTTTCTGAGGCAAGGACTGTTTGGTGTTAAAAGAGCAGCACTCTGAAATTTTACGTCTTTTCACATATTCTAAATGGCAAAGATTGGCATCATGCAAATTTAGATTATGTGGATAATTTTGGAACACTAAACAAACTGATCTTAATGTGGCGTAAAGAACTATACTGAGTTGGATGCCAGATTTGTCTTTCTTGTCACAACAGCGATATAATCAACTGAATTAACTGGAAGCATCAGTAGCAATGAGGATCAATCTGATTGGCTAAAAATAATTTAAAATGTGAATTCGCTTCACTTGGAAATTAAACACATTATTTACTGCAACCAAACAGTTTTTGTAACATTGTTATTGTGCATATTAACAGTATCAGAACATTTCAATATATTATGCCATGCTCAATTTGAAATCACTGGCTCCAAGTTAATCGGACAAACCAAATGTTCTGGAAGTATTAACGGACTCAATCCTGGAAACGGATCACGTTTATGCCTGGTCTCATCCTTTCCTCATGTTATCCTGGCTAGCACTCCACAAATTGCTTCTGATATTTACTGCAAAATGGCTGCAAGCACAATCACAGTTGCCTCTTTTGCTCCAGTAGAAAAAGAAAAACATTTTGGTCAGAAGTTTTGAACAATTATTCAGCTTTATTGTCACTAAAACTAAAACTGAAAGGAGGTGTCGGTCATTATCGGTTGCAAAAAACTCAAACCATCACAAAAATACAGAAAGAAAAAAAATCTCCTTGCTGTTGGAAAATATTGAGCAGATTAATAACCCCTTTTTTTAAAAAGCAGATAAATTAACAGACTACTGCTTCTGTAACACTTTATCGTTGTTTTGTCTTTCTAACTCTGGTTCGGCTTTCATGCAGTTCTCAGCTGTGCTTGCTAGGGAATTAAAAAAAATCACAAAGAGGAAGAGAAGATGGAAGTGCACATTCTGTTCTGTGTGCTTGACACTGAAATGAAGCATTCATGACCCCATTTAGACACATTGTACTCAGCTGAGATGTTGAAAGCAGGGCTTTTTCTCTGTGCTGAACTCCGCAGGCTAGAAAAACTCAGACACACCCACAGAAGCTAAAAAAAAAGAGACTTGAAACAAAAGTGCAGTGTGGAGTTTCTTTTCTAATATGCAGGCTATGTTCTGCTCAGCGGCAACTGTGCCAGCTGAATATTCGAACAGGCGTGTTGGTATGCTGAGGAACGGATTACTCAGGATCCTCGATTCGACCCAACATATTTGATGAGAGCCAAACTGAAGCAGCTGTGCAAGACTTGTAATATTTTACAGCCCTCTGCTCACCTGTCAGACACACCAATGATCACACAGCAGGTGTCAAAAAGCATCATGATGAGGGAATGCAGCCGGGCTCCACCAGGGGTCAGTAAAATGTTAGCTTTCAGCAGAAACATCAGATACATTTTTATTTTTTATGAAGAAGAATTCTCTCAACAATTAAAATGTGCTGCAGGATCTTTACGTGGGCGCTTACACACAAATAAAAAGAGAACATGGAGTTATTTTCTCCCCTTATTCAAAAACCAGAACATAAGCAGGAAGCCTCCAGTGACAAGGGCATTTATCAGAGGTTTTCACAAAATATAAAATCAGGATTCCAGCTCACTTTTAAAGTCCAAACTCTATAGTTTATCAAGACTTGAATAAGATGGATGGAACTAAAGACAAAAGGATGAAAAGAGGGAAGGAAAGACAAATGATTGGTTAAATAAAATAACTGAGGATGGAAGGAAGACGGATGGATGGAACGACTAAATGAATAAAGGACAAAAAAGGAAAGAGGGAACAAAGGAAGGAAAGAAGAAAGGATACTATATGAATGGATGGATGGATGGATGGATGGATGGATGGATGGATGGATGGAAGGAAGGAAGGAAGGAAGGAAGGAAGGAAGGATGGATGGATGGATGGATGGATGGATGGATGGATGGATGGATGGATG